CCCTCGGCGTGAAGTGGATGGACTGAATTCTGGTGAGTCACCTTGAAGACGGCGACTGGTCCTCTGATACACAGGCGTCAGCTCCACAGGATCAACTTGCTGGTGGTCGGGGCTACGCTGTCTTGCGTTTGTAGGGCTTCATTACCCAGCACCTCCACCAGAAATGTCGCGATGTTGAAGGACTCGTGGGGGGGGGTATAATAAAACGCATTTATTAACATATTTGCACAGCGCAAGACTACGAGTAGTTACGATGTAACTACAGAAGAAACAAGGAGAGAAAGAAGGACAGAAAGTATTTATCAAGTATTTATTAAAAGGGCGAACCTATGCCCACAACTGAAAGTGGCTATGTTCGTAGAACGTGTCAGTCGAACACCAAAGATGTTCTTCCGCTGCCTTCCTCTTCCTTTCCAAGAGAAGTCCCAAGCGCGTGGTGCACATCAGCCGGGTCCAGCTGGGTGCTCGTGCCATCATCGTCTCTGCGCAACACAAGACGGGCATGTGTGTCCCTGTGCACACGGTGATTGGCGCGTTGTTTGAATGTAAGCAAGATGTCGTGGCAACATGTTGAAGGCAATTTGAAACTAACAGAAGAACGTAGCCATGCTCTCATTGCACACGGATAGTGAAGTGTTAAGGAAAGAACTATGAACCTGTACTCTATCACTGCAAAGATGCTCTTGTGACACAATAAAGAGGATGGTACGCATTGTAACCACTATGTGGTTTTAGGATTGGGTGCAAAAAACTATGCGTTAGTGTGCGTAACCTCTGACATGCATTATACACTACATATGCAACAAACGATAGCTTTGCCTACCCTATTCTAAAACTGGCTACTGCATACGTGCACCATCCTTCTGTGTATTTTTGTGTTAAGTAGTGAAAATATTATGCATGTCCAATAAACGGTACCTTTGCGAACTTTATTCGCAAGCTGCCTGTTGTGGGGTACACGTACGCATACGTGCCAATTCTCCAAACAAGCTTTGCCAAACAAGCTTTGCCAAACAAGCTTTGCGGCAGCCAGCTGCGCCGTCCCGTCCGTTCACGTGTGTCCCAGGAAGATATACCCGAGTTGTTTTGACAGAAATAAATTCTGCTAGTTATGTTCATCCTTTGAGACTCTCGCCTCAGTGGGAAACCGCGGCCACTCCAAGCCACTATATATAAGACTGCAACGCTGGTGTTGGCGCTTGCGATTGAGAACCCCACTTCCTCTTTTTTTTTAGCGATGTTTTTTTGTTTGTTGGTCTTTGGAATTTTTTTTGTGCCGAAAAAAATAGGGACAAATGATTCAGCCCCCCCCCCCCCCCCCACCTCATTGCAGAAATCTCCCGGATCCAAAATCCTTGAACTCGGCAGGTATGCGTACCTCATGAAGCAGCCAACAGAAAACAGTCATTTTATCGAGACAATTAAGCTTAGCAAATATAAATAGTTTCTGGATTGAATAATCGATGTCGTGCCAAATTCACAACCACAAAGAGGAAGAATTAAAACATATAGACAGCAATCTGACGTATGCACCAACTAGCACCAACTAGTTAATTCTACTGAATAGTTTCTGCTCTAGTTCATTTGAATGGAAACCGTGGCGTATACATTTGCATTACCAAACGAAATTGTGTAACTTGAGATTCTACTGCAGCTGGGACTAAATGGTCCCAGTGACAGTGTCGTTAGTTTGCGTTTCGTTTGTGTATATAGTTGTCCCCCCATATTTTGTGCGCATCTGTCCCCATCAAGCATAGCCAATGTCCATTATGCTGCAACTTGCGTAGGCAGTCATCCAGTGCATGAACAGCATAATGGAAATTCCGTGCGTATATATATGTATCTGCTCACGGCAAGTTATATGTATATATATATATATATCAAGCGAGTGTCTTCTGTGAATCCAGTTATAAATAGAAATCGGCTTGAGCGGACAAACGTACGAAAACTTTTATCACTCCTACATTTCGGCCGGGGTCCGGCCTTCGCCAGGGGATACATTGCAAACGTCAACGTGCTGCTTATATACATTCGGGGCCCCCAACACGTGTCTATTTAATATCAAATGTCACATATATGACAGTGGCACACAAATCAACATGCGAAACAGAACGATGTGATAATGACAGGACTATATCACAATGATAATATACGAAATGATAATATAATATAATATGCACAGCAAAAAAGGGCATTTTTCACAGTCACGGAAAGGATCAAAATAACAAGGGTGATTATGTACCGCGAATGCATTTAACAATATTGCGTTAAAACAACTCGATGAACTAACAAGAAACATAGGTAAACAACCAACAACAATGCGCTAAAAGAATTAATAAAAAGCAGGTGTAAAGCAACGAGAACAGCAATATAAAGAAAACATAGGTGAATTATGTGGCAATGGTGATATGAAAAAAAAAGCTTAGGTAAAAGTGAGATACATGGCATTCATGAGAATGAAATACAACAGAATTGTATATAACAGGCTGAAAACTGATGAACGCGGCAGACATGTGATAGGGAATTTAGCCTTGTCTGTGACCTAGTGATCCCGTTGCTGAACGTGCGCCCAGGAACGTGAGCTTTCCTGCGCTTTAGTTAATGCCGAATGACAGTGCTTTAAATTTGTAGATGAGAAATGATTCGCGTGCTTCCCATTCGTGGTGAGATTTTAAATCAGATTCTAATATGGTTGCTGTTAGGTTATCGAGTGAATGTCCTGTCGCATTCAGGTGCTTAGATAGGGGTAGGTTAGAAAAAGTTGTGACATGTGCCTTGTGGTCATTAAACCGCAGTCTGAATGGTGTCGCTGTCTGGCCTAAGTACTGAAGCTTACAGACTGAGCACTCAAGTAGGTACACACAGTTACTTGTATCCCAATCGTAATCACCATTAATTTTCATTGTGAAATTTGACGCCGAACTGTGGGCTGAAATAGAGGTGGTCATGTGTACGCAAACCTTGCAACGTGGTTTGCCACAAGGGTGGCAACCTGAATAGGCAGGATGAGTTAGTACAGATGAAGTCAGCATATTGTGCAAGTTTCTCGACCGACGATAGACTACACGTGGCGATTCCGAAAATATGTTTTTGAGACAGTCGCGCTGCATAAGAATGTTGTGGTGCCTTCGTAAGATGTGGTTAACGTTTGGTGCTCATGCGGAATGCGTTAATATGAGGTTTGTAGATGGTCGCTGCTCAGCAGGCTTGTTGGAGTGGAGGAGCACGCTCCTGTCCACTTCACTAGCACGTTTAATGGCATCGTCAATTATCTGAGGCGGGTACTTTTGTCTTCTTAGCGCATCACTGAGCTTGTCACAATTATCCCTGAAGTCAGATTGTGCGGAGCACAACCTTTTAAAACGGAGCGCCTGGCTGTACGGTATGCTTGTCTTGTTGTGTCTTACGTGGCTACTTTCAAAATGAAGGTAGCGGTGTCTATCAGTCGACTTTCTGTAAATCTTTGTCGTTAGTTTATCACCTGATATGCATACCGTGACGTCCAGAAAGTTTATGTTTGATGCTGAGTAGACGAGTGAGAAGGAGATTGATGGATGAAAATTGTTAAAGCTTGCCACAAAAGACAAAAGTTCAGTTTCCCCGTGATGCCATATCAAAAATTAAGATATCGTCAATAAAGCGCTTATAGTATAACGGTTTTAGGGCGCACGTGGCAAGAAACCTGTCCTCCAATGTGCCCATGAATATATTGGCATAATTCAATCACCATTGCCACATAACTCACCTACGTTTTTTTTATATTGCTGTTCTCGTTGCTTTACACCTGCTTTTTGTTAATTATTTTAGCGCATTGTTGTTGGTTGTTTACCTATGTTTCTTGTTAGTTCATCAAGTTGTTTTAACGCAATATTGTTAAATACATTCGCGGTACATAATCACCCTTGTTATGTTGATCCTTTCCGTGACTGTGAAAAACGCCCTTTTTTGCTGCGCAGACCTCACCTTATATTATCATTTTGTGATATAGTCTTGTCATTATCACATCGTTCTGTTTCGCATGTTGATTTGTGTGCCACTGTCATATATGTGACATTTGATATTAAATAGACACGCGTTGGGGGCCCCCAATATATATAAGCAGCATGTTGACGTTTGCAATGTATCCCCTGGCGAAAGCCGGACCCCGGCCGAAATATAGGAGTAATAAAAGTTTTCGTACGTTTGTCCGCTCAAGCCGATTGCTATGTATATATATATATATATATATATATATATATATATATATATATATATATATATATATATATATATATATATATATATATATAAGGGAAAGAAGTGTATACCTAAGGGCTCATTTTTCAGTGTTTTAACACAATATTAATGAGATCTAACAGACAGTAATGCCAAGGAATGTACAGGGGAAGGTATTGAAACCAATGGAATGTAAATAAGAAGAAAGAAAAGTGTATGAACAAATAACCAACTGTGATTCCATTCCATCGTTTTAATAACTTCCCCTGTACATTCCTTGGCATTACTGTCTGTTAGATCTCATATATATATATATATATATATATATATATATATATATAGATATATATATATATGTATATATATATATATATATATATATATACATGCAAGGGGCACAGACGTCTAGCATTTTTCCTCCAAGACGCGGTCGCCTCGGCCGAGATTCGACCTCGCGACCTTTGGGTTAATACGTGTAGCACCATAGCCCGTGGGTGTGGAAAAATCAGGGATTACAAACATGCTCATTGAATATAGGACGGAACCAGGCTCGTGCAAAACGAGCGGCTTGTTTTGCGTCTTCAAGTACAATTAAAATTCCCGCGCCTTCTTTACTCCGTGGTATCATACTGCTTTTATTTCAATTTTGTTAATCGTGACTGGTGCAAATGTATGTTTTTGCATGCGCGTAAGGCTGAATTTAGTTCTATTGCATGAAACCGAAGTAAAAGAAGAGCACTCGGACCGCGTGCCTCGCGACGGTTTCGTTTTAGCTTTCGCTGGTGCGTAGCGGGCAGCGTGAGCGAGGGGAGGGATATGGCCTTCGCGATGAGGTTGTCATTCCCATTCGTCTACCGCGGCCTAACCCTGTTTGCCGACATGTCCAAGGTGCCTGCTGCCCAAGACGACGAGATGAACGCCGCGCAGCTCATCGGCAAGTTCACCCTCAAGGAAATCGGCTCGGGCAAGGTGACGACTACGAAGCTTCTGCTGCAGCTGTAGAGGCGCGCGGATATTTGAGCGTGCGCAGCGGTAACCTGGGAACAGCCAGTGCGCGTTTTAGCTGCGCAGATTGCGATGGCAGGCACGTAGCCGATACAAAATTACTTCCTTCCTGGTCATTCGTGCGCAATAGTGCTGTGCGCGCCTGATCGCCTAGTCGATTCTGTTAATGTACGCTGGTGAGACGTACAATCGATCGATCAAGTGCCTGATGACATCTTATAACAGCTCGAAAACGGGGCACGCGCTACGCGAATGCTGCGTCCCGTGTTTCGTTTTCTGCAGTTTTTACGCAGTTTACAGTACTAGTACTAATTCGTGTAAACTTGCGTGCGTGGCACTGGTATCCACGGGGTCAAAAATTAAATAAAAACATTGTTAAGGTGTTATTAACCAGCATATCTTTAGTGCTTAATATTGACGCGTGTTTATAGTGCTTTCATTTTGGGTGATCGGGCTAACGTACGCAGTACGTGCAATAGACGTCAGACTGTCCAGGCGGCGCTACGAAAATCGCTCGCGGCCATCAGCGGCCCCATCGCCGCGCTGGCCATGAATAGATAGTGCAAAGATAGCCGTCCGCAAACGAACGTGCATCGACCATCCCCCTTCGTTGGTCCTGAGGCGCGGTTTCTTGAAAATTAAGGACCTGGCAAACAAACTTCTTCCTTCAATCAACCTCTCTTCAGAAAAGTAGGAACTGCAGCTACAATGCAAAAGATGCTTCAGTTATTTCAGCGTGCTGCTGAAACTGGCAATTTTAAGTGTAAGCGAGCGTCGTATGACATGTCGAGTTTGAGGCAAGCACTCCGACGTGCGTTCTGTCACACATGAATGTGTTAAACTTGTGCGTATACATGATGCCAAAGCAATGAAGTGCATACACGAGCAATCTATCTTGCGATCAGTGGTACAAATAAGCTCACTTTATTTGGCACGAATGACTCTGGCGATTTTCGCCTTTGCAGTTGCATTCTCCGTCGATCTTTTCTTGCTTCCTGTGCGTTGAACTGTTTTATTACACACGCTAGAATGTTCTGTTCACGGTTGTCTTCCGTTTCCATATACTGCAGATGGGGATATATGCGTGTCCACTTTCTCAGTATACAACGAGAGGCAAAACCAAGGCCTCCGAGATAGCTTCGGCAATCGCGTAGACCAACGGCAAGAAAAACCTGCTTGTGGTCGCGATCATTTTGTGATTTACCTGTGTGACGTACCTGTTCGTATTTCCTAGTTAAAGCCAAAACTTAGGGCCTTCAAAGCCCTATGTGCGTAATGCTGTGTGGTGGCGACAATTTGAGATTGTCCATAGTATCTGAGGTGTAACGCATTTAGGACGGGACAGAGAAGAAGACCCATAACACATACACAGCGTTCTGTATGTGTTATGTGTCTTCTTCTCTGTCTTGTCCTGGATGCACTATACCTCGGATACTATGCATAACCAATAAGCCCGCTGTGCAACCTTAGTTGAGATTATCGGTGGTCGCGGCGTGTGCGATATTATCGCGCTCGTCACTCGTCTATTGTTGCACTGCACGCACCGCGGTCAGAGGCTATCTTAAGCATCGTAATCGAAGTTACCATGATTGTTTGCCGAGGCTACTCAAAACAATAATAGGAGACCTGCATTATCACACTTTCTCATGCGACCAGCTGTAGAGAACGCGAATAATTCGTTTACCTAACACGATCGCAATGGGCCGTATTTAGCGTCTCGTCGTTCTGCTTTGTGAAAGCTGTGCAAATCAGTAAAATTAAAGTCTTTTACGTCCATAGTAATTCGCAACGCAACAGTAGCATAGTGGTGTGGCAGTAGCGTTGACTGGGGTCTTTTTTTCGTAGAGCGCGGAGCTGTTGCGTCTTATCTTGTTTCCACTGTAGTGTCGGCAACTGAACCAGCAACAGCAAGCACTTCATGGCAGTTCGGTGATTCATCTGACTAGCGGAGAGAAATTTATAGCTCTTTTTCTGAGTGTTGGATGCGCAAACACATCTAATACAGTAGACTCCCAATAAACGAAACTCTCTTAAATTAAATTACTGTTTAAATGGAATAACTACCACTAGTATATTTAGTTTCGTACTTGAATATATACCCCTGTTTATCTCTCCGTAAACGAAACTCCTCTTAAAGGAAACACATTTTTCTGGTCACTCCAGGTTTTATTTAAAAGGAGTCTACTGTATTTCGCTCAATTGTCGTTCTGCACACGCTGGTTGCACCTGGTTGCGCAACAAACTGCCCAAGGACTCGGGCTTTGCACTACTCAAAACTGCGTCGACAAATGATGCTACATGTCCACGAAACTCGAAAGTCTGACGTCTATATGCGAGCACCAGCGATATGGTTCGAACGTTCCATGCCGCCTGTATAAATGTCGGTGCACCTCATCACAGATTAGTTTATAAATGGCCGACATTCTGTTCCCATTGCCTGTTGTCTGACTTTTCATTTTCCACCACAGGTTAGTCTGAATAAAGAGTTCCATCTTGAACACGTGACAGTAAATGTTACTAGTTATCAACAGAAACTATTGGCAGCAATATAAATTTGATTCAATGGTATAGCAACATGCATTCTATTATCAATTGCATACAGTTAAAAAGGGGAGAAAGCTGGCAGCCATAGTATTCAGTCTTGTATGGATGTAATAACATTTGTACATATATGTAATATGCATATATCGCCATAACACTAAACAAGTAAGGATATATAACTGTTGCGCTTAGATCTTTTTATCAATTGGTTACGAAGTATAGTGCAGTACACATGTGAGATGCACGTATGGAAAAGGCACTTAATGCGTGACAAGGTGCTGTAACTCGTTTCAGTCTATAAGGCGCACAAGGAGCAGTTATGTACAGTGTCGACCTTTATCAAAGGGAACATGCGAGTGCGTGGTCTTCTCCCTGCGCCAGCCGCCTACAGCACCCTCAACTGACAGCCGAAGATAGTGCACCCGCTTTTGGCGACACCTTCAGTTATCGGACTGGAGCGCTTTTTCAATGGCTGTGACTCCTTATTTTGTTTGCCAATAGATGGCACCCTAAAAGCCAATGAGCTTTCTTTGGCTGATGGAGCTGTAGGCAGGCGTCGTACAGTACAGGCCACACACACTCGCGTGTTCGCTTTTATAAAGGGCGACAGCTTGACAATTTTTATAATAGGTTATCGTGAGAACATTCATACTCCCAGACCTTTCTGCAATGCTCAGCTTATTTTCAATGCCCACAAACTATAAGTGGCGCTCTGTACGATTCAAGATGGCGCCAGGAATAGAGTAAACCCATTTATTAGCTCTAGAACAGATAGGAGCTGCAGATGTATGGTCCGTGCCACTTTAACCGGTTCAAGTCATGAGCTGCAATGAAATGTATATGAGACCAAGATACCTACTTAAACTATGGAAGCTCACCACTTAATTATTTGCTGCAGTGTTAAGGGTTATATTTCAGCTGTTACATGAACGATGTTTGGCAAAATCCTTTGCACGTTCTACAGAAAACTGCATGAACTAGAACTGACGTATGAACTGAACGGCACTCCGAGGTAGTAAGTACTGAGCCCGTCCGATGGATCTGCTGCACTAGTCGGCCACTAGCGAGTAGGGTCAACACTGCCGCAAAGGACCAAATGTTTAATGTGGCGATGGTTTCCAAACATATCACACTGTCACCATTACTTGTGCAGTCAGGAACTTGGAATTGCTTCTTAAACTGAACACAAGCATTTATGAATTCATTCAGTAGCACTTGTGTTACAGCCATGCTCATCTGTGTGCTATGCACTGCACTTGGATGTTGCAGGTTTTATCAGCACAATCGAAACATAGGTATTGGAAAAAAATACACATGCATGTTTTTCGCAACATTGAACAATTTGACGATGCAAAAATTTATCGAAAAGGGTACCTGTACACGAGAATTTAGCAGAAAGGTATGGATGTTTCCTTAACTGCACATTTCATCGCTCCAATCATTTCGCTTCGCTCGTCGAGCTCGAGCGTGCTGGCGGAATGTGGCGCTCCACGTTATCCACAATAATTTCACTACATTCAATGCACAAGAAAAATTATGCTTTTGTTCTGATCCCCCTGGAGAATATTATACTTTAAACACAATCAAAGTGACTTAAAAGCATGAAAAAACATCAACGCACAACGGGGCGTCGAGTGCACTTGCTCCTCATGAGTTGACAGCTGATGGTTCGACGCTGTCACTCGGTGCTTTCACAGCCTTCTATGTCCAGTGAAAAATCCTCGTCGTGAAGGTAGTTTCTTTCAACATCACTGCTGAAAGCAGTCTGAAGAATTTCCACGGTTGAATGACTTCGACCGCTCAGCTAACTTAATGTCAGCACATTTGTGTGGCCGTGGAGAACATTTTGCTCTCACACCAGTCAGCAAGCAAATTGCTTGCACTGTGCTGCCACCCATCAACTTGCGTACAAAAACAAGCGACACAGCGCTGATCAATTTGAGATTGTTTAGTCATATAAGAGTGAATTCGTGAGTGACTTGTCGCATACGATTGTATGGGATTGATGCACTACAAAAGCGCAAGTTGCCTTGTATTTTCACAAAAGCTTTGCATCTTGCAAGAATGAATCTGATTTACTGTGGCACTGAGGGGCCGGTTCGTTCTCTGGTGCAGGAAACATTCAAAGTCATAGTACACTCACACCTTGAATTTGGATGTAACCAAATATTGGTTATGACGAAGTAAATGAGTACTCTTGCAATAGACGTACTGCTAGAAAAATGCCTTTGTAACAAATTTTTGGACATAATAAACTTCTGTGTAAGATGCAACTCCATTATAATAACGTTTGACTGTACTTGTTTTCTGCTAACGTATTAACATTGCACCTAATGCAGCTGAACAAGGGAGACTGACCATCCTAGAAAGAATGCTTCTTAATTCCGCTTGGCAGTGCGACAGTCTACGGGCATTGGGAATTGCAATAATGTATTGTAATCTTTTTTCAGTGACACAAATAAAGGAATATGTGAACATACCCAGACTTATTGAACAACAAACCATGCTGTTACAACTCTCTAAAGGAAAATCTGACATATTTGTACATCTCAATTTTAACGACATGAGTGATGCTATAGAGGGAAATAAAAAAAGTTTACTTTTGAAGCTTTACTATTTATGTATTTTGTTTTTCACCACAATTTCTGAGCGACTTCTTGCACTATGGTAGTCATTGCAAAATGTGCTTTTTGGACAAACTTTTTTTGCCTCTAAGCTGTCATCATGAGTCATTAATTTATTTATTTATTTACAAATACTGCAGGCCCTGTTTGGGCCCAAGCAGGAGCGGGTAACAAATGTCAGTGACAAAACAGAATATAAAAATACAAGAAAATACAATACTTGGTACAAAAATAAGGAAATTCCCAACATCAGGGAGAATATAAATAATACATAATGACATAATAATACATAATTAATGACTCATATTGCTCTATATAAACTATAGAATGCAGATAACTATCAATAAAGTGTGTGAAAAACATTTATATCAACAAGAAAAATTGTAATGTGAGAACTGCTGAATGCTCAGCCAATACTAATTTTTTAGTTCATAATAAATAATCTTCATAAGTTCATAATAATAATGTGAATGATATCATACTTTAAAAGAAGATAACAGCACTCTTCAATTCTTAAGGAATATGTGGCAAAAATTTCATCTTAATCTGGCCATCAGAAGTACCAAAAACATGACGTCCAAACTGAAAAGGTTGCCCAAATTGCATATAAAGCAAAAAGCATTTTAAAAGTAGAAATGAAAGATCATCTATGTGGCAATGATGCTCTTTCTAAAATAGTTTCTTCCGTTATGAAAGCCTGGTAATTATGGCTTTTTTGAGCATGGGGCTTTGGGGAACTGCTCATGTGAAATGTAATGGCAAGCAGCCAGGGGACAATTTCCAGTGGACTCTAGACAATCATCTCTTTTTAGTTTTTTATAGCCATCCTATGCTCTTTAAAGGTCATTTTATCTTACTTAGAGGTTACCTACGACTGTTTTTTTTTGTCAAATAAGTAAAGCAAAATAAACAGCGCTGATGTAAAATCAAGTTTCTACAGTTTTGTAGATTTACATGAATTGAGTTTATTTCATGATTTCAACTTGTTATTAGAGTCAATGCGTAAACTGTCAGATAACTTGGAAATTAAGGAGCCATAATTTGTCTAGCAGTAGTGGGGGGATACTGTGAATGCAGGTTTTGAGTAAACCAGCCGGATACATGCTTTTGCTGCTAAAGAAAAAAAAAGCGTATATTTGACTTGTGGCATTGCACGACAAAAATTGAATGGAAAAAAAATTAAGAATGATAATGCTTTAACAAAACTGGCATCCTTACAGCAACATAATTCTTTTTATAAGTTTCGTCATTCCGAGCCTTGGATTGTTAACAAAAACAGAACTACATACTGTGACCAAATGCTACAATCCTGTTTACCTACTGTGCTAAATCAACTACACAAAGAAAATGGTCTCAGTGTATCAACTCTGTCGCTAAAAAAGCTACGCGACGTATTTATGTGATTGCTTGTGCTGCTAAGGGCTTATTTGTTTGTCCTTTTCTCTGTCTTTAGCACTTCGCTTATTTTTTCCCCTTTTTCTCAAATGTTTCTATAATGACCTTGTTTATTTATTCCGACCATGGATGTTTACTGTTCTTGTGTTTTTTAAGTTAGTTCATTCATGATGTATACCATGTTTTTGTGTGACCGCTGTGAAGCTGCCCAGTGTATGAGGTGGCCAGGTTCCCCTCAAGCTGCTCAACGCAGCTTTTTTGCCTGGTCATCCTCGCAACTTTGTTGTTGTGAATAAACAATTCAATTCAAAAACATAAGGAATCAAGGCTGGAGAGCCTGACACAAACTCGTACAAAACCAAATTTGGTCTGAGGTACGCGAGTTTTGGCCGTAAAGTAAGAAGTGGATTGGTGCTGAAAACCCAACTAAAGCTTACTTCAAAAAGTACCACCATTGTATGAAAACAAAACAAAAAACAGACTGAACATAAGTTGAACCACACTTGTAGTGATGTGGCAAACATCCAACTAGCACATGCAAAATTATAGAAGTTTTAACGAAAAGGCTGATAATTAGCCTTTTATATTACACATTAGAAGAAAAAAAGTAAATAATAAACAAGGAAGTTCATCAAGGTTTAAGAGCTATTCCTGCAGGAGTTTCGGTTGCATGTGGTATCAAAAAGTACCTATATGGCATGAAAAGCCTTCTGATGCTAGTGTTTGTGGTTCATCGAACTGCAATAAACAAGTTGACGGTACTTTTTAAGGCATGGGAATGCTTATGTGAGAAAGATGTTATACAGAACCTTCTACATTTATTTACATCGTATTGAACTATCGGCACAGAATGTGCATGAAATTCAAACGCATGTTGCTGTCCTCCAAGTGTACATCACATATGCTGTAAAGGTTTGGTAATTTGACAATTGTTAATTTCAAAAGTTAGATAGTTTGAATATGTACCCAAGAGCTGGCCAGTATATGCATTCAAAATTATCATAAATTTGGTCATAGTGTTTGACTGCAACCCAGGTAATATGGACAGTCCTCGCAGCACGCCGAAAACAAAGTGCTGCAAATTTAAAATGCAAAAGAGAGTATACAGTGTTCGCAGACTATCGAAATAAGGTGGTCTGGTACATTGCTATTTTCATCAGTTGGTGACCATGGTTTTGTCCGCATGCAGCTTTGTATTAACTTGATTCGCTACGTCACAGTCAGCATGCCAGCATAAAACTCATTTGTAATGTTACAGTGGGCGAACCACCAGTTACCGGCCATTTTTCCTGCGAAAGAACAATCATTGCGTAGATGTGGTGATGGTGGTTATGCGTAGGAATTAAGGAAGAGGTACAAAACATGTTTTGGGCTAATTAAACACAGGGCTTTGATGCCGTTGTTGCATTTTGAACAAAGTTGCAGGATAACAAAAACTGTGGTTTTTACTCTGCTTTTACACAAACAAGACATTAGATTTAAGGACTCATCAAGAAAAGGAAGATTCATTTATGTTTTTTTACTACTTTAATAATTCAAGATTTGGCTGATTCGGACATTTTTGCTGGTCCTTTAAGATTCGAAATAACAAGATTTTACAAGTGCACATATGCTTTGAGGCTCAGCAATGAAGGGTGTTTTTGTTGCTAACCTTGAACTTCTTTAAAGTACTGACACAATTTTTTGAAGGTGAGCTTGCACTGTCATACAAGGCTCCTGAAACAGACATGGCACTGAGCAATTGTGAGACTCAGCAAATGCAGATAAATTTTATTTTGATATATAAGTCAATTTTTCCAATGGTGTACCTACTGACACCGACACTGATGAGTTCACGCTGCAGTTAGGCTACTTGTGATGATGTCAGGTGCGAAAACTTCCAAGATGGTCACTTGAGCATCAATAATAGAGAAAGAAACTGTGTGGAACAGCCATGAAAACGTCACGATATCTTGCATGTGATATCCTCATACTGTGCTGTGTACGGTAGGAATCAAAACTAGCTTTTAAAAACATTACTTTTTCAGGGTGCACTCACGCTTAGCAGTGTATTTCTAAGCTTTCCAGGGTGCGACTTCTCATTTGGTTAAAAAAAAAATATTGTATCAGTACCCCTTCAAAGGTTTCCAACTATTTCTTTTTAATTCAAAAGGCTGCCCTTTGGCATAACAAGCATACAAAAAAACAACAAAGGCTTGTCACACATTAACCAACAAGTTACACTCGTACATAAAGTTTAACAAGGATCGGTGGAAAGGTTCTTTTATCCTTTCTTGTAAGTCCGGAGGGTGACCAGGACTGTGACCGATTGTTCTCAGATGACGAAGGCGCACTTGCCCTAGGTCTGGGCACGACCAGAGCAAGTGTGTCACGTCCATGGCAGTTATAGGAGCATCACAAAAAAGGCTTGTGGTTTCATACGCTGCGTGGTACTGTTGCAGCCAGTGGGCAATAACTGCTGGCGTAAGAGCAACCCCAACTTGAAGTCTTCGAAGCGCTACATTTTAAGCGGTAAGCCCACAAGAGAGGTCAGAACCACACAGTGGTATGAGTGCTCATGTATTTAACAATTGTCAATAAATTTGGAGATTGATCATGTGGAATTACTACTTAAATGGGGGAGCAGTCTCCCGATTCCCTAATCTCGTATTTGGATAATGCAAAACAAGTTTTCTGATTTGGGATCAAAATTTTTGCAACTCTCTCCAAGTAGGACCACAGAAGCGAGCTCTAAAGATTACTTTTCATAAGGGCTACAATCAGAACCGTTCTGACGTTTTACCAGAAAGCCATTACTATACTATATAGTGGCAAAAAGCCTGCCTTCACAACTGCATATTATTTATTTTGCTACTGATTGAAGTGGTGAGTGTTTTTTAGGTGTGTGCTTGAGACAGAAACCACCACCTTATAGCTGTCAAATGTGTCCCATACTACATGACAAACTAGCTGATATTTACTTGTTTGTGCTTAACAAGCCCAATTATATTAAGAGAGAGCACCTGCTCCTATGCACACATTCTTTACTTAACAGAAATGATAATTGCAATGCATTTTTCTGGTATCACAAGGTTATGTTTAATAAGATTCTGCCGTAGGAGGCAAATAGGACAGGGGAGGTTGTGTTCACATTGTTCATTGCATTGCTCGTTGCATCACTCTACATGTGCACTTGTTTATGAATGATTGACCAGCCGCTGTTGGAATGTATCCTCAAAGTATGGAAGGCCATTACCAAAAACTTCCTCTCTCCCGCAGAGCGTGACTGTGGAGTCACTGTGGCGTGACCAGACGTGTGTGCTCATGTTTTTCCGCCGCTGGGCATGCCCCTTCTGCCGCCTGGACGCCGTGCGCCTCAGCCACATCAAGCCGCAGCTAGATGCTGCCGGCGTGCGCCTCGTTGGCATCGGCCACGAGAACGTGGGCCTCGACGACTTCCGTCAAGGCGAATACTTTAAAGGAGGTACGCTAAGTGTATTGCTTTATTGTTGGGCATGTTGATATATTTGGGTGTAGTATCCCTTGCAGCCTATGTGCTCGTTCAAAACTCTGCGTTAATCAAATTAAATGGCCTTAACAGCATGAGCTGCTACCAGGAAAACCTTTCTGTGGCTTTGATGGTAACGCTGCAGGAGCAAATGTACTGACAGTTGGGCAAGTCGGTACTGATTTATTATTGAATCTGCAACACTAGACCTAGGCAAGAAAGAGATACCATAAAGGATGACCACGGTCGTCTGTCTCTTTCTTGTTCTGTGAGTTGTGCACGCTAGAGAAAGTTATGATATGTATACGTACCAACTCGCCCAGTGGTCAATTGTACTGAGACACTGTAAGCACTAACTCGACGAGAAAAATCCGTGAACAGGGGCTAATTGTGTCGAAATGTTGGCTCGACACTACCTCTGTCTACAGGTTTTTCTTCGCAAGCTTTCATCTTCCCCTTCTCACCATTTTTGAATAACTCGACAAGGTACAGTCGAATCTTGATCATTCGAACTAAAAGGGGCCCGAAAATTTGTTCGAAATAAAAGTAGTTCGAATTGATGAAAGCTAATAAACGGAGGGCTCTCCATGTAGTGGCGCATGTGCATTGAGCTAACACACGAGGGGAAGCTTCAGAAGACTTACATTTATTCACAATTCACAGGACATTCGTTATTAATTGAAGGAATCGGTGATGCGCATCTGCACACGTTTGCCTTGCAGCGAGTTTATCAGTTTCGCACGCAGCTTGCAAAGCATTTCTACTTTAGCTTCAGCGTTCTCCCGGCAAGAGAAGTTGCGCGCAGAAATGTTTAGCGCCGACACTTTTTGAAGACGACAACAACAACTGCGTAGCCTTTCCGCTACGCAGCCGCAGCATGGCCAGCACGTTCACGAGAAAGGAGGGGCGGCTCCACGCGGAGAGAAGGAGATCGGCATTTGTGGGAAAACCAACACTCCACGGCAGCTTTAGTTTTTTTTCTCTCCTCGCGCACGTCGTTGAAAGGAGAAGAGTTACCTGGTAGGGATCGGAAAGGGGGAAGTATGGCACCGGCGCGTGAGAGACCCCCCTCAAGGCGCAGAGCCGTGCTCCCGCGGAGGGCAAGGGCTGCAAAAAATAGTGCCTTTCTCCTTTCCTTCAACCACACATTCATTCAGCCCAGCAACAGCTTTCTTTTTTTTTCCTCTCTCTTTTCGTGCACGGCATTGGAAGGAGAAGGATCTTTACGTGGCAGGGACGGAAAAAGGAAAAGTGTGAGAAGCCTTTTCTTTCCTTTTCATTTTCTTCGCGCGCTGCGTTGAAGTGTCGCAGGTACCGCCGCAGGATTGGGCGGGGTGCTGAGAGCAATTTCGGAGCGCGGCATGTTCGAATTAATTGTTGCAAGTGCTTGCATGTTCGATTTACCGTGCGTTTTCGCCCATCCATTGGAATACACATAGTTTTGACGGGACCTCATTGTGAGTTCAAATTAACCGGAAGTTCGAACTAATGAAATTCGACTGTAATTCGAAATCGATATGGGCATTACAACACATGTTGCTCCACTGGTAGGTGAATTTCTCCTTGGATAATGTGGTGGCCACCATTGATAAATGCCTCCATCGCCTTCAGGAAGGAAAGCCGGGGGGAATCTTTAAGGGCTTGTTTTCTTTTTTCTCTGTAAAGCAGAGTACGTATTAATGAGAACTGTTAAGGCCACAGAAAGTATAGGGAATGTTTTTTGCAGACTTTGTGATATAAAAGTGAAGAAAGTAAAGTGGAAACCTGGCATTGGCAGGGACCAAACCTGCAATCTTCGCATTAGGCGTTCGATGCTTACCCGAGTTACAGTGGCGGTCAGTTCACATTATGGGGTTTATATGTGCATTTTAAAGGGGTTAGTGTCAGTCCAGTAGCTATTGCAGTGAGTGTGGTGGAACTTCTTTTATGCCTGTTGGCATCACGTGATCTTTTCACATCTAGGTATATCATAATAACCAGAAAAAACATCCCCTGGGTATTATTGTCTGTTAGTTCTCAACCTTTGTGCACAGCATGGTTTGCAATGAACATTGAAAGTCTGTGGTACTACAGTCGAACCCCTTTCGTCAGACCCTGATATAGCAGAATAAAATGAAACAGAAGAATGCTTTGTTGTCCAGGTTAGTTCGGTTACATCTCTGTATGCTAAAATGTCGAATAACATTTGTTTGTTGCTGTTCCCACACCTGGAAGTTTTGTTTTCTGTTTTTCATGAGTGCTTTGACGTTGTAACTCAATTGCTTATGTTGTCCGGTGATGTTGAGCTCAATCCCGGACCTAACACTAAAGCACAAGTGCAAAGTCCTCTTACTGATTCACAGACTAAGAAGTTTAATGATATGTTCAAGATGTTACAAGCTGTAAACACGCATACCGAAAAAATGGAGAGGGACCAGACAGATCTAATCAAATCTGTTGATGAGCTTAAAAAAACACAAGGCGAGTTTTCAAGAAAACCTTACTGTTTTAGACAAACAATTAACTGAAGTAGAGCGCAAAACGGTCGCGATTGAGGAAGTCCAGAAAGAGATACAGCGTTTTCGCCAATCGATTAGCCATATTAGCAGTGAAAACGGCCAACTGCGTGCCCGGCAAGGTGAGCTCGAGGATATGCAGCGGCGAGACAACCTCTTATTCTATGGGCTGCCTGATGCCCAGTCGGAGTCCTGGGCCCAGATAGAAGAAAAGATGATGAATGTGTTTTCATCCAGATTAGAAATAGCACCCTCTAAAATACTAATCGAACGAGCACACAGGCTTGGCGGTTATCATCCCAATAAGTGCCGGCCAGTCATTGCCAAATTTTCTTACTTCAAGCTCAAGCAGCAAATACTTCTGAGTAGTTCGAAGCTGAAGGATTGATTGATATGTGGGGTTTAACGTCCCAAAACCACTATATGATTATGAGAGACGCCGTAGTGTAGGGCTCCGGAAATTTAGACCACCTGGGGTTCTTTAACGTGCACCCAAATCTGAGCACACGGGCCTACAACATTTCCGCCTCCATCGGAAATGCAGCCGCCGCAGCCGGGATTCGAACCCGCGCCCTGCAGGTCAGCAGCCGAGTACCTTAGCCACTAGACCACCGCGGCGGGGCCGCTGAAGGAAGTAAATCGGCAGTTGAACAAAGCATTCGATCGTCTGAGGGGCAACAGGAAGAAAGTCTCGTGCCTCAAATGGCCGTACTGAACCAACGGCTCAATGAATTTGAAGACTGTTCACGTCGAGAAAATTTAATATTTCACGGCGTAGTAGATGCCGCTGCTGAAACTTGGGCACAGTCAGAAGAAAAAGTTTGCTCGATATTCACTTTTAAGCCTGAGATAGCAGTGATGATCACATTTCCCAGGCGCACAGGCTTGGCCGTTTCGTCCCTAATAAGTCCAGACCTGTTATTGTCCTGTTTTCATCCTGTAAACTAAGAGAAACGATTCTGTCTTCCAAAAACAAGTTAAAAACAAGTGGTGTCTCCGTAAGTGAAGACTTTTGTAAGGCAACCAAAACTGTCAGGACAAAATTGTATGATTTTGGCAAGAAAAGTGGTGAACTTTTCACTGTGAGGTACAACAAGCTGTATATCAACAAAAAATGTTACATTTACTCCCCTGATACCCACAGTGTCTGTGAACTGCATTTGGGCAATGCCGCCAGTACTTCTGAACTGTCGTCTGCCGCTACAAACAGCCGTCCTGATGTGTCTTTTTCCTAACAGATGTTAGGCATCAGCAATGCAGCCAGTCTTCTCAAGGCTTATCATTTTTATTGTCAAATGTGCGCAGTTTAATCAATAGACGCGACGCTCTAACACCTATTATTGATTCATGCGCTGCTGACGTGGTTGTATTGACTGAGACCTGGTTGACCAATAAAATTTATAGGGAAGAGCTGTTTCACTGCGACAAGAAGTATGTTGTGTACCGTCGTGACCGCGATTTAAAACCGGGTGGTGACGTTCTAATTGCCATTGCCCACAATATAGTGTCTGCTAGGATTGCACTTACAATGTCCTTAGAGTTGGTTTGTGTGCGTGCTGTCATAGACCACCAAAACACATTGATCTATGCTTGTTAACGGCCGCCAAATGCACCAACTACTTTCTGCGATGAGCTGCATGACATTCTTAATTTTCTCGTCTCAGAATTTCCTCACTCTCCGTTGCTTCTTCTGGGAGATTTTAACTTTCCTAGAATAAGTTGGGCTTCGCAATTTCCCTCCGTTTTTGGTTCGTCCGCTGAAAGTCAATCTTTTATTAACTTGTGCTTAAATTTCAATCTTGCGCAACTTGTATCTGGGCCTACTAGAACTGGCACTACTTCATCGAACACACTTGACCTGGTCCTTGTCAGTAATCCTAATTTAGTGCATTCATTAACTTGTTTACCCGGAATAAGCGATCATTGTTTTTTACATTTTTCTGTAAAGGGCAGTGTTACATGTCAGAAAAGCAATCCAAAATTTATCAGAGATCATGCGAGAGGCGATTACACAGCAATCAATAATGAGCTTGCATTATTCATTGACGAGTTCATGCCAGAATTTTTTAGCTGTACTGTAGAAGATAGTTGGACACTATTTAGGAACAAAGCCACGTCACTTGTCGCTAAATATATTCCACTGCGCAGGCTTTCCGGAAAGAAACGCTCCCCTTGGTTTTCAACGACACTAAAAAGATTATCAAACAAGAAAAAACGCACTTTCCGTCTTGCGAAACGCTGTCAAACATCTACTCGTTGGAATGATTACGCAGACACACTGCATGCATATCGTATCGCGTTAAGAGAAGCAAAGGTCGTCTTCTTTAATACATATCTACCTTCCCTTCTTTCTACTAATCCATCGAAATTTTGGAGCACTATTCAAATAAAAAAAAATAACATATCTCTTACAGATACCAGTAGTTGCACCATGAGCAATGAAGAATGTTGCATGGTTCTAAATGACACCTTTGCAAAGTA